ACAAATTTTTTCTTATAGAAAAAATTCTTTTCCCAATTATTCTGGTAACAACTATATTTTCTGACACTTCAGCATTTGTCTGTAATTTAATTTGTATATGAGAGGGTAGTCTAGCATTGCCATCTTACAGAAAGACAACTATTTATGCCCGTACCATTTATTAGCAGAATCCTTTTCTCTAGGCATCTTCTGATATGTTTAATACATTTCAATTCTTTGATTGACTAATACATATTTAAATGTATAGGCTTAAATATAGGAAAATAGCCTTCCGCATGGCATACATTTTAAAAATGAATATGTTAAACAAATGGATTACTAATTATAAATGGAGTTAAGAAAATATTTTAGAACACAGAATTTTTCTGGTGCTACTTCCCATGGCTGGATTCCATGCCAGAACAGCAAACATAAGCAAGTTATATCCCATTATAAAAGGTTGATTACCCTAGCAATAGCTAGAAGTTCATATAAATCTAACCTCTGTTCACTTGTTATTTAAAGGCAAGGAATAAACCTATAAATGACTATACATGAGATCCACACAGTCATCTATCAATAAGTAACAAAAAAATAATGACATTTTATCTTTCTAATAATTTTGCATAGAAATCTTTGACTTGGTTTCTTAAAGTTGTCACACAAACCAATGCATATATAATCCCTGCTGTCAGCATGACGCATTTTATTTTCTTGTGAATAACACTGATTTACATGTTTTAACATTAGTGATCATTAATCTATTTGTAAGGCACTATGTTAATGCTTGGAGGATATAAAGATGAATATAACAATTCCTTCTTCAAGGAGTTTACCATTAATAAGCAAATTATATACACAATTAATAAAATCTATATATGGTAACTTCTATAACAGAAGTGAAAGCTACTATAATAATAAATGGGATGAAGACATAAATTCTGCCTTAGGAAAAAGAAAAAGTCTTTGATGATGGTTGTTTTAAGTTACTATGTTTTGGGGTAGCTTATTATACAGCAACAACAAAATCACTGAAAAATCTAGTCTCCAGTCTTTTGGCCCCTGCAATACAGAGAAAAGAACAGAAGAGGCAGAGATGGTGTTGACTGAAAATAGACAATTTACTGAGAAGGTCCCATTTGAGCACCCGAAGAAAGCCAGAGAGCTAACCATGCAGATATCTGTGGGAAAAGCACTCCTGAAAGAGAGAACAGCAAGTGCAAAGATCTCAGTCACGGGTCTGAAGAGTTCAAGAACAGCCAAGAGGTCAGTGTGTCTATAGTAGAGTAAAGGAGGAGAAGAATAGATGAAGTCAGAAAAGTAATATACTGGGGCAATCAGATCATGTAAGGTCTTATAGATAAGAAGAATTTCAGCTTTTATTCTAACTAAGAGGAAAAGCCACTGCAGGGTTTTGAGGATTTAACAGACTCACTCTGGTTGTGATAAAAATATATTGAAGAAGTGTATTTTTAATCATGATAGAATGGATTTTGCTATGGTAAAAATTAATCCTAAAATATCAGTGCCTTTAACATAAAAAGTTGTTTCTTAATTAGGAAAAGTTTGGTAGGAGTCAAGCAATTCTGTAAGGAAGTCATCATTGATGTGGTGACTTGGTATTCTAGGCTACGTTTATCTTGCAGCTCTACCACCTCAATATGTGGCCACCTTGCATGGTCACCATTTTCACACCTACTCTTCTGTGCTAGTCTGAAATTGAAACGTGATGCTTTCACTGACATGCCATTAACCAAAATGAATCACAAAGTCCCACCTAACAACAAGGGAGTTCCGAAATGTAGAATAACATATGAAATAATTATTGAGCCTTACTGTGTCTGTCCAGCGGGCAATGGCAACAGTAGGAGACTAACCATGAAGCTATTATAATATTCCAAACCATGCTGCTTGGACAAGGATGGTAATAACAGTGCGGATAGTGAAAAACGGTCAAATATTGAATATATTTTAAAGATAAGGCAAAATTTGTTGAATGGCAAGGCATGAGATATAAAAGACACAGGAGTCACAGGTGACTGAGAAGGAAAAAAACTGAAGAAGTTTTGAAGTACATCAAGAGCTCAGTTGTAGACATATTACGTTTGAGAAGCTAATACAAAATCGAGAAAACGTCAAGTAAGCAGTTCAATACATGGATTTGAAGAGTTTAGGGAAGAGGCTGGAGATGCGATTTGGTAGTCATCAATACAGGGGTGGTTTTTAAAGCCATAAAACTGGATGAGATGACCTGGCTAGTATGTGTAGGCAAAAAGAAAAGAGATTGAGCCCTGGGAAATTCCATCTTTTGGAAGTCAAGGAGATGAGGAGAAATCAGTAAAATAAACAAAAAGAATGACCAGAATGATAGGAGAAACACTTGGCAAGAATGTTACCCAGCAAGCCAAATGATGGCAGTTTGTTTTTTTTCATTGTTTGTGGGTTTTATTTATTTTTTGGGGGGGTTGTTTTTACAGCAGAGAGTAAACAACTATGTTTAGTGAGTGAAGCTTATAGATAAAGTAGGATACGATCTGAGAAATGAACCTTAGATTTAGCAATATGTAGAGGTCACTGACAACCTCAAGAGGGGAAATTTCAGAAGAATAGTGGGAGGGAACAAACCTGACTGGAATAGACTAAACAAAATATGGGAGAAAAAAATTGGAGACAACAAATAAAAACCACTGTTTCTAAGAGTTTTGCTATTAACAGAAAGAAATGGAGTGGCAGCTAGAAAGTGGAAAAAGAGAGTTTTAAAAAAATTATTTTATTTATTCACTTTTGCTTTTACAAAAGGGTAAATGATATTATATGTATGTACTGATGAGTAAGACTAGTAGATTACATGAGAAGGCAGGGAATCTAGTTCCCAAGTGAGAGGTTACTAAACATACACAGGGAGGATATGAGGGCAATCTGGCTGTGACATCTGTCACCTATTGATCACCAAGTGGATTTCGCTGATCTGGCTGCCCTTCCTCCCTCACTGCTCCATATGCATCCCTCCCAAAGCCGCACACTCTATCAAAGAAGATGGCCTTACCTGATACAGGAGGACTATTCTTTGGTAAGGATATACAAGTAGCAGCGCTCCCCTGCTAGAACCTCTGAACAAGCCCTGAAGGAAGACAGGGAAAAGCCTGCAAAGGATAGTGTTTAAAACACCATGATCACTCCAATCAGTTTATACCACTACTCTGTCTCTCTTATTTTTCCAATGCACTATTATTCTCTGAAAGGAATTCTATTTACATGTTTTAGTCTGTCTTAATACTACAATGTAAGCATCAACAGGGCAAGGATTGTCTGTCTTGTTCCTCCTCTCAACTACCCAATGCTGGCATTCGCTGTGTATCTGCATTGGGTTCTCTTCTTTCTACACTCTTTCATCCTTTCGGTATAAATACCATATAGGTGAATGACAGATAAGTATCCAGTGGTGACCTTTCCCCAGAATGCCATACATACACATCTAACTGCCTAACTGAAACAGGGATACTGAACAGGTGCCTTAAACTTAATACATGTTCCTCCAAGCCCCATACCCCCACTACGGTTCCTGACCTAGCTACACTTTAGGCAGCCTTCTCATGCTCAGTAAACAGCATCATCTTCTACAGATACTAGATAGTTTGAGACTTAAGCCAAAAATCCAGAACTTACCATTGATTACCCTCCTTCATATCCAAGCTCCTATCAATTTTACTTCCAGAACATCTCTAAATTCTAGCTCTTTCTCTGCATGCCTACTTTTACCAAACTATTCCAGCAGTTTTTTGTTTGTCTTTTTGCCTGGACTTCTATAGTAGTCCAGTTGGTCTTCCTGCTTCTAGTCTATACTTCTAGTCATACTACAACCAAAGAGAAATTTTCACACCTAAAATTTGATCACCCCTCCACAGAGACACCTCTATTAGAAAATCTGTCAGTTTCCAATTGCTCTCCAGATAATCAAGGTTCTTAACAAACCTACAGGGTCCACATGGTCTGGTTCTGCCTACTTGATATTGCGGAGGGTGTTCTCCTCATGTTTTTTCGTTTTTATTGATGTCTGTCCCTCTCCTGTCCCCAGCCAATGCTCCATGAAAGCAAAACTTCGACATACTGTTTACCGCTATATCTTTTAACATCTACCCAAGTAGCAAATAAAAAGAGCAGTATGAAGCACCCTGGTTTTCCAGACTATAGCAGTCGCACCTAGGATAGTCTCTCTCCTTAGAATCCTCAAGGCCCTCTGTGTGGGGTAAGGGGTACTTTCTGACCCTCTTGGAATGATCTGTCTCCTCCCTCTATTCAGAATCTAGGCAGAATACTGGATCAGAGTGTAGACCACAGTCGGAAAACCAGGAGTCAAATCCCAGCTCTTCCATTTGCCAGCTATGTAACTTAGCATCAGCGTTCTCAGCTGTGAAATGGGGAAAAGAGTACCTACATGCATATGTATAACTTATTTATTACGGTACCTCTTCTTACAGGCTGCGAATTCTGTGAATGAACCGGATCAGGAACTTACCAGCTTGTTATATGCCACTGATCAAGAAACAAAACACTTCTCGTCTCAACTTTTTGTCCCTTACACTTTCTTCTACATGGGCCCTGGTGTGCTCACTGAAGAACCGGCTATCTTTCGGTTTAACCCGCCAAGACCGTGGAGCACACGCCGTACTTCCCCACCACGCTGTCCCAGCCAGCCGGTCGGGCGCCCTTCCGCAAGGCTGGGGCCCACAGCGCCGCCCGCGGCCCCGACGCACTCCCGCCCGCACGTGCGCAGTAGGGAGTCCTTCCGTCCTTGGACGCCCACCTTTCCTTCACGTGGCTGAGGTTCCTCTTCTTTAACAATTTTGGTTAATCTTGGCGCGTCTCTGGGCCAGTTTTTGCTTTTAATACTTTCAGCAGCTACGTGGAATTTAAATCACTTTGCTTTCCCGTCACTGTAGCGCGCGCATTTCACACTGAGCCGTCTCCGTACAGGCGCCGCTGACCTGTGGCCCAGTTCTCGCGAGAAGGTGACTATATCGCGCTATTTCCTTGTTTCCAGAATCCTTAGCGCGAGGCGGAAAAATACTCTTCTCGGAGTCTGGTGATGCTGCAGTCTTACTAAGGCTTCTTTCCTTGAGTTCTCTGTTGTTTGTCCAGGAAAATGGCAGCCCCCGAGCAGCCGCTGCCATTATCAAGGGGATGCCCGAGCTCCACTTCGCTTTCGCCGCCTCGGGGTGACCGAACCCTTCTGGTGAGGCACCTGCCGGCCGAGTTGACCGCCGAGGAGAAAGAGGACTTGCTGAAGTACTTTGGGGCACAGTCAGTTCGCGTCCTGTCGGATAAGGGGCGACTGGTAAGGGCGCGCCCCTCCCTAGTCTCCGGGAAGGCCCTGGATAGTGACCCCGGGAGGGGAAGGGGAGCGCATACAGAAGGAAGAAGACAGAAGCGGGGGGGGCGATGCGCTTGTGTGGCGGGAGCTTCCCCATCTTTCCTCTTTTATATCAAAATATCTTGCGTGCGAAGTGCGACTGCCACTGGCTCGAGTCGGGATTAGTCACACCACTGCGGAAAAGGGCGAGGGGGAGCGACAAAGCAGAATGGAAAACAGCTTAGTTATGTTCCCTTTCGGACCCATCCGGAGCACCCCTCAACGCTTCTCAGCTTGGGGGTATTTCCTTTAGACTCAGAGTACTCTGGCAAATATGCAACAGGGGATTTTTTTTTTCTTTAATCCTGGCTCATTTACAAGCCAGTGTCAAGTCATTGACCAAAATAGAGTTTAAACTGCAACAGTTACATAGGTAGCAAATTTAAGTAATCTCGGTACAGTAGTTCTACTGGATTTTTAATAAAGAGGCTCGTCATAAAAAATTCCCGGTGGCATCGTTTAAGGAACAATATTTTAAGACTGTTGAAAGTTCCTGCACAGGAAGTTACACTATTACTTTATTTTGCTTTGTACCTAAAGGTGTTTCAGATGGATTTTTCTTCATTAAAATAGTAATAGTGACGTTAAGTTTCTGCAAAGTGGTCTGTGAAAGGACAACACATCAGTGGTTTTAAAGTTTCCCCAAGTGATTCTAATGTTAATGCACAGCCAGAGTTGAGAGTCACAGAATTAGAAGACCAGTTTTGATCAGTTTAAGTGTCATATTTACCAACAAATACAAATAAAAATTCTGTATGGTTTAAATTAAGTACACTTAATCAGGTCATCTTGGATCAGATTAGACAAAATAGAATGTGTGATATATTATTCAAGCAACTTCCAATAAGCATTGACAAGAACTCTTCCTTAGCATAATGATTCATTTAATTTTGGCTTATTTTTGTGATGATTTAGACTTCTCTTGTTGAACCTTATTACAAAGATAAAGCACAAAGGAAACATACACCTTGAGGAATGATTTCTCTGTTGGTAAACGTTTTTAAAGTTTGCATTGGGATGTATAGAGGAAAGTGTAAGATCTTTAGGTGTGTCATAAACGGGAGATATTATATATTTTTAGATGGTTAAGCATGATCTCCTATGTGTAGTAGAGGTTTTTAAACTTCTGATCTGTTGAACTATTTGTATATATAAAATGTGCTATATATGTATAAACCTTTGTATGAAAAAGTTTGCATAGCTTTCATCTCAGAAGTCTGACCCCGAAAGTATTGAAAACCACTGCACTAAAGTTAATAATCAGTTAAATGGTCTCAATTTTCTAACCTTCCCTATGATTTTATTAACATGTCAAATCACTCTATGGATAAAATCTGAAACTTTATGAAAAACTGAAATTATATTGGAAGTAATTTTTACCATAACACCTTGTTTTTCAGAAACATACAGCTTTTGCTACTTTTCCTAATGAAAAAGCAGCTATAAAGGTATGACTTTTTCTTTACTATTAAATTTATCAGTAATATTCTATTATCTGATCTTGGTTCAAAATGGGAGTCAAGTTAAACTATACTTTTTAAAAATAAAAGGATTTGTATTACAAATATTTGCCTAACAGGCTACATTTGATCTGTCAGTTGACAGATCTTGCCTAGTGTTTAGGCATTGGTACGTAGTAATAGTAGATTAACTATAAAGCAAATTAAAATTAACTACATCTATAATTAAAAGTAACAAATTCTAAGTGATAGATATGTAACTATCTCTGTAACTTTTTACAATTTTATATATATATAAAATTCCAGGGATAATTCACAAAAGATAAAACCTTTCAGCTAGACCTCTAATGGTTAGTCGGATTTTGAGAAGAATACAGGGGGAGATGGGCCTTCCAGGTTTAGAGAACACTAAGTAAAGCTGTGGGACATGGAAATTTATAAGTGGGGCAGGAACTAAGGGTTGAGATGGAAATAGGACTTGCAAAATAGATTGAGTCTAAATTTGGATGGGAGAGAGGTATTTCAATTTGGTTTAGTAAGTGGCCACTTGATACTTTTGAGCTAGCTCATATCATCAGGCCTGTAAACTCTACCTGGTAGAGTTTATATCATGTATTGAATGTGGAGAAATACTAGAGGTAGGAGATCAAATGGAAAGCTGTTACATAATGATGAAAGCAACAAGAAGACAAAGGGGGAAGTAAATATACGCTTGGTAGAGATTGAGTTTGTAGGTTTTATGATGTAAGAATTGAGAGAGAGAGAGAGAGAGAATAGTTCAGGATATTTGGACTGACTTATTGGGTTGTCACATTAGCTGACTTGAGGAGCCAGAGTAAGAGGGTGTTTACAAAGGTATGTAATGAATTCAAATGTCATCTTTTAACTTTGAGGAATTATTGGGCTGCTTCTATGTAAATATTTAGTAAATATTTAAAAATATTAGTCTAGAGCTGAGGCAAGGTCAAGAAAGGAAAGTTTCTTCAACCTTTTGAATAGACACGATGAGCCAGGAGAGAAGACTGGGAGAGAGCAGTTAAAGCAGGAGAACTAGAAAAGAAATTATCGTGGATGCAAAGACAAGAGAGTTTTAAGAACATGAGATCCTGTGGTGATACAAACTGAAGAATGAACACAGTCTATTAGTTAAGGACTTTTTACCATGAAGCAATAAAAATGACCCAAATTCTTATCAATAAGGAAAAGGGATACCTTAAATTTTAGTATATCCATATACTGGATTGTAACTGATAATGATGTCAAAGAGTATGTATTATATTAATAGGGAATGATAACCCAGATAGAATACATGAATAAAATTGTGAAGCATTAGGTATAATGTAACCTCAGATTTTTTTGAAAACTAATAGTATATATACATGTTAGTATATACATACAAAAAAAACATGGCAGAACTATACACCAAATTGTTAAAAAAATACCTTTTTCTGAGAGTGGCATTATAGAAGGCTTTCTCATTATACGTATTTTTATAATTATAGGGAATTTTTTTTCCAGAAAAAAAGACCTTTTTTTAAACATAGTACAAAAAATTATAAATAAAATATGATAATGAAAACACTGTTTTAGGGTCAAGATTAACTTGGAGGAGAGCACATGGAACCAGTCATTGTCTTTGGAAATGTTTGTAGCAAAAGGAAGAGGTAAGAGGTTAATGGCAGTGATAGGCTAAGTATACTTGACCTTATTGGTAACTGATAGATTAAAAAAAAAAAGGAAAAAATGTTTAAGAACAAAGTAGGTAGCTGAGAGGCAGGGGGATTAGTTAATGTTAAAAATGAGAAATCATAAACCCTTGAAAATAAGAAAATGTGTGGTATCCGTTTTGAGAGTAAGAAAGTTGAAGCAATTCAGGTTAGATGACCTCTATTTCAGGTAATTAAGCGTTCACTGATAATGAAGAGATCTAGAGTTCATTTAGGGTCTTGAAAATTATTGAAACATTTTAAAACTTGCTTTGTTTGATGACATAAGGAGTCAAATAAGAATGCATAAAGATGGTAGAATAAAATTATAGTCCCAGTTAGGCATATATTTCCATGTATTCAAAAAATATTAAGTGCCTACTATGTGCTAAATGCTTTTAGGTCTTAGGATATATGTGAACAAAACAAAGATAACCTCATTGGAGCTCACATTCTCAAAAAGGAAGACAGACCATAAATAATAAACTTAATTGTTTAATATTTTAGAAGATGGTAAATGCTATGGAAAAAAGAAAAAGTAGAGCAGTAAATCAGGAGTGCTGAGTGGGGAGGGATCAGGTTACATTTAGAGTCATATTTGAGCAATAGTTTGAAGGAGATGAAGGGCGTTAACTAAGGAAATATCTGGGAGAAATGCTTTCTGGTTAGAGGAACAGCTGGAACAGAGGCTCTGGGTTGTGACTATGCTGTCATGTTGTTCAGGGAAACCACTGACAAAAAGTGGGTGAAGGGATCATTGAGTTCGAAATCAGAGAAGTAATAGTCCATATTATATAGAGTATGTTAGCAGTAAGGGCATTAGATTATTCTGAGTAAAATGGAGAGCCACTAGACCAAAGGAATGACATAATCTGACTTACATTTAAAAGAGTCACTTTGGCTGTTGGGTTGAGAATAGGCTGAAGGAGCAGGGTAGAAACAGGGAAATCTGTGAAAGTATTATTGTGGTAATTCAGCCCAGAGATGATGGTTGCTTGAATCACAGTGATAGAAATGGAGGTAGTAAGCAGTGGTTAGATTCTGGATATATTTTGGAGATAGAAGCAAACAGGATTTCTTAATGGCTTGCATACGGAATGTGGGAAAGAAGCATTAAGGATGCTTATAAGATTTTTTTCCTGAATAACTAAAAGAATGGAATTATCATCAAGTGAAATGGAGAAGGCTCCAGGTGAAGCATATTGGGGATAGGAGAGAGTGTAGTTATTCAGTTTCTGAAACTGAATCAGTGTTGACTTTGAAATGTTTGTTACACACCTGAGGGGAGCTAGCCATTATTTGGATATGTGTTCCTGGACTTTAGGACAGAAGTCTGGGCTGAAGTTATAAATTGGTGAATCATCAACATAGAGGTGATATTAAACTTAGGATGCTGGATTAGATCACCAAGAAAATGCATTTAGATAGAGAGGAAGACCAAGACTGGAGCTCTGGAGCATTCCAACATTAAGAGTGTGAGAAGACACAAGTCAAAGAGATTGAGGAATAGGTACCAGTGAGCTAAGAAGAAAGCTGTAAGAAAATACGGTATCTTGAAGCCACGTGAATAACGTATTGAGGGAGTGATCAACTATCTTAAATGCAGTAAAGTGAAGACTAAGAGTTGACCATTAGCTTGGCAATACCGAATTTGTTGTTGGCTGTGATAGGCAGTGTCAGTGGATTGATTAAAGCATAAGACTGTTTGGAATAGGTCTGAGACTGAATGGGAGGAGGGAAATTATAGATACAGGGTTTAGATAACTTTTTAGGCATTTTACTGTGAGGAATAAAAAGAAAATTAGGATAGGAGAAATAGGAGTGTGTTTTTATACTGATGTGGATAATCCAATAGAGGACAGAAAATAATGTAGATAAGAACACCCCCCTATACATTTCCAGAGAGTAGCTAAAGAAAGACCCTTGAATAGAAAAGAATGGTTGGGATTTAGTATACAAGTCAAGCAGCTGGATTTAGATAAACACAGGGAGAGTTAATACATGGTAACAGATGGAACATAGAATATGGATGCATATGCTGGTAAGTGGGGATTTATGGTGGAAATCCGAAATTCTCCTCGTACGTCATTTCATTTGTCTCAAAGTAGGAAATGAGGTACTAGGCTAAAAGAATGAGAGAGGAATATTGTGAGGTTAAGGAACAAGGAGAAAGTAAAAAGTATTTTTAGATAATAGGTAGAAAAAATGGACTAAGATTATAGTATGTAATTGTATGGCATCATTAAGGGCCGTCCTGACATTAGTGGTTGTGGTTATATTAACAAATTTAAAGTGAGGTGAGGCAGATTTGTTAATGATTGTTATCTAGCTATTTTCAGTCACCTGGGTATAGCAGAGTTGACAAGAGAGTTGGATTTAGCCAGATTTTTGTTTTGCCAAGTTATAGGAAGCAAACAGTTCTTTATAAAGTAATAAAGCCTTGGTGGCCTGAGTTTAAAAATAAGTAAGAAATAGCTAAAGAAATGATTACAACATTAACAAAGAAA